TTTTCAAAAAATTTTTTAGGATAATGCTTAGCACGTAAATATACACATATAAAACAAAAATTAAGAGATTTTGATAAATAACGCCAGCAATATTTACCTTAGAAAATTTCCATTATTTTACTATTCTAAACCTACTCATAAATTAAACATCAAAGAAACCTAAATTTTTTTTTTAATTTTTAGGTTTTTCATATGTATATATACCCAAATATAAAAAATGCGCTATCCAATCATCATTCCGGTTTCCTAAAATGATACTTACATATTTACGCATATAACGCCCTCTTACGGATATATATTTGTTAATTTTTAAAATTGAAAAAAATTTATTTATGTTTTAATAAGCTATGAAAATATTTCTTTTATAATAATATTAACTCAAAATAAAATTATATATTATATGATATTTAATCTGTATCCTTCATTTAATAAAAAAATAATTTAAGTATATTTTAAAAAAAGATTTAAAAATTTTCATTAAATAAAATATACACAATAAAATTTTGATGATTGTTTTTAAAAAAAATAGAAATTTTATAGATAGAAATTTTATAATAATCATTTTAAAATTCTTATATTTTTAAAATTTTAATATATTCAAAACGCATTTATTCTTTTTAGCAAGTAAATAATTATTTTGTAATTTAATTATCTTTTAAACTATTTTGATTTATGAAAAATTAAACGCAAATGAGGTAAATTTTATAATCTTTTTCACTTCCATTTGTTGAGTATATACTTTAAAAATAAATTTTTTTTATTAAAAAATAAAATTATGAAGATATGGTAAAAAGGGGAAAAAATATTAACAGTGAAACAAAAGCTCTAATAATATTGACGCGTTAAAAAAAGATAGTATCAAAAATATAGCATCATGTTTTAAAGTAAGCTATAAGACAGTGACAAATATTAAATACTTTCATCTCAAAAATGGAATAAAATATAGCTTACCCAAAGGAAGTTCACGCGCACGCAAGAAATAAATAAAGAGCAGGAAGAATATATATTAAATTGTATAAATTTGGATTGCACTTTATCCTTAAAAAGGTTATGTGAAATCATTAAAGAAAGATATGATGTGGAAATATCAAAAAATACGGTATCAAGGTTACTCTCAGGATTTAGGTACAGCTTTAAAAGAGTATCATTACGTTCAGTTAGAGAAAATAACGAATCAAATATAGAGATTCGCAAAGAATACGCGAATTGGTTTGTAGATGTAGCATATATGAAGGAAAAATTTATATTTATCGATGAGAGCGGCTTTTCAATATCAATGAGGCGATTATATGGATATTCCTAAATAAATAAAAAGGCAATTAAAAATGTTCAAGGAATAAAGACAATAAATTACACTATCGTTGCGGCTCTCACAATTGCAGGAATATTTCGATTCGAAGTTCTTGATGGCCCTTGCAATGCTATATATTTTAGCAACTTTATAAATGAAATATTAAATTATTTTGAAGAATCTAACATGATTTTTATGATGAATAATGTTCCATTTCATCACAATCATTCAATTAGGGAATCGATCGAAAGAAAAGGACATACATTGAAATATTTACCACCCTATAGTCCGTATCTTAATCCTATTGAGAATGTGTTTTTTCAGTGGAAGGATTTTGTCAGAAATAAAAATCCTAGTAACGAGGAAGAATTAATTCGTTATATAAAAAATGGAGAAAGAGGAATATCTGAAGAAAATGCAAAAAATTATTTTAGAAATATGGAGACATATATCCCAAAATGTAGAAGGGGATAAATTATTAATGATTAATATAAATTTTTGTTTCGTACTATATTAAATATATATCGTAATTGTAATTAAATAATTTCATATGTAAAAAATTATAATAAAAAAGTTGTCTGCCAAAAATTTCGTGAAAATTAAATATACTTAAAGGAATTATCAAAAATGAGAAGAAAAAAAATTGAGAAAAGATACAAATAAAATAAAGAAATCGCAAAAAGTTAGAAATAAAATAAGAAGGAATGACAAAAATAAATAAATTTAAGAAAAATTGAAAAGTTTATATATTTTTTTCAAAAAATTACGATTTTCCTTTTTTGAATGGGAATTTTCCTTTTTTGATTGACCCTTTTCCTTTTCTTTTAGGAATTTTTCTTTTTCGATTGACACTTTTCCTTTTTTGATTGGACCTTTTCCTTTTTTGTTTGACACTTTTCATTTTTTGATTGAACCTTTTACTTTTTTGTTTGACACTTTTCCTTTTTTGATTGGACTTTTTCCTTAACCTTTGGGACTTTTCCTTTTTTGATCGGATCTTTTCCTTTTTTGATTGAACTTTTTCCTTTTTTGTTTGACACTTTTCCTTTTTTGATTGAACCTTTTCCTTTTTTAGATGGGAAACCCTGTAATATAGTACGAAACAAAAATTTATATTAATCATTAATAATTTCTCCCCAATAAGTTTTCTTCAGTTTTTGCCAAACTACGCAGTTCAACTGATATTAACCTCTGGACTGTGATAGGGGCTAACTTGTAGCTATGCAATAAGGATAATAGTTAGTATTTATATTAGATGAAGAGAAATATTATTACTGTTTTAAAAAAATTAGTATAATCTATGTATAAAATATTATCTACCAAAATTTTATTATGAAGAAAGAAAGAAGTCCTCGGAATACTAAAATAAAGAAATATATTAAAATGTTCGTTTATTTACTTTTTCAATCTACTATTTATATACTTTTTACAAACTAAAATTAGAATATAATATTAAAAAGGTTAACATATAAAATAAAAGTATAACTAAAATAAAAATATAATTTGAATAAACAGAATTAAATGAATGCGCGTTACATATATTAAAACATATTACTATTCAATAACCAAAATATATAATGTTTTAATTTATTAATTCCTATAATATAACATTCTGTCTCTTCTAAAAAGCCTTCCCATAATTTTATCTAAGAAGTCATAGAGAGTTTGTTATCCAAGTGGTTTATCGTTTTGGTCATCAAGTTGTTTCATAAGTCATTGTAATCGTTGGCTTGTCCCAATCGTTGGTTTGTTTAAATCGTAAGCTTGATATCCTTATCGTAAATCATGATTTTGTCATATAGCTTGCTTTGTAGTACTCAGTTGTTATTATTATCATTTTTCAAAATTGTTATTATCAGTAAGTTTCGAATAATAAAAAATAATAGTTCATCAAGTTGGATATAAGAATAAATGAAAAATGGTAAATCAATAAGATTGTTATATAATTTTTTTAGCGTTTTAATTTTTCGCGTTTTAGTATCCAATTTATTTTTTCATTAATATTTTCAATCCTGAGGTTAAAATATGCAAATAAAATATTATTCACATTTCCCTCTTTAAAAAATTTAAATTTCACACCCTAATTTTAATTCAATAAGTGTTTTTTTTTGTAAATAATAATTCTTCATAAGATAATTTTTAGAAAATGATCTCCTCATCACATCTTTTAAATATTTTTTTAAAATGAAGATGTTTAGTTTTTATATAACTTCTTGTCTTCAAAGCTTTAAATTTCAAAAACTTTTTATCACATTAAGTATTACTTATAAGAGTTATATAATTTTATAATTTTTTAAATCAATCATATGATTTTTATCTTTTAAATTTTTTAATTCATATGTTTTAATTACATTTTGATATAGACTTAGTTTTAACTTCTTGTTTAGGATTTTTAATGGTTTAACTTTGTAATATTTTTATTATATTTAAAATTCATCTTAAGGTAATTCAGTTAATGTCATAATTCAAGAAATCAAAATATGAAAATATCAATAGGCATTTCACTAAGAAATTCAACTGTTAATTCATTATTAAGTAAAAGATTTTTAAGGCTTTTTATGTATTTAAATATGTCTATTATGATTGATTTACATTTAAGTTATTTTAATAAGTTAGTTTATACTATCATCTCGGCATATAATTTTAATTTATAATAACTTTTCTTCTTACGTGGATTTTAGAATTATAAGTAAATCATCATTGGTCTCACTATATAGAATTCATAGCCTATCCCTTAACTTCCATATCAGTTCTTTCTAGGTTGTCACATTAGGTTAGGTGCTGGTTATCATATTCCAGTCCAACACCCAGAACCGGGACCATGAAGAAGGAAGCTTTTGGCGTGAATGAACGTGCTAGGGAATTTTCTTGGTTCTTGGTCATCTCATTAGGTTATGTAGTCATCTCATTCAAGTCCACCACCCAGAGCCGGGGCACCATGAAGAAAGAAAGAAGTCCTAGGAACACTAAAATAAAGAAATATTAAAATGTTAGTTTATTTACTTTTCAATCTACTGTTTATATACTTTTTACAAACTAAAATTAGAATATAATATTAAAAAGGTTCACATAAAAATAAAAGTATAACTAGAATAAAAATATGCGTCATAATAAGCACAATCGCCCTTTATCGCTATATGAAACAGCAGAGCTACGCTTGGACTATCTCGTCCCATCTAATTGGGTTAAGAAATTTGTAGCCTATGAGATGAGCCCATCCACAATTTTTGGGCAGGCTGTAGTTACCTGTGCGCACAAGAGGCGAAACCACTTGCTTAAACGCCTACGGGAGATAAGAAGAGAGAGAAAAGCCCATACCCGAAAAATAAAAATATAATTTGAATAAACAGAATTAAATGAATGCGCGTTTCATAAATTAAAACATATTACTATTCAATAACCAAAATATATAATATTTTAATTTATTAATTTCTATAATATAACATATTACCAATTATTTAATCTATTTTAAATATGCCCATTTTTGTAAATTAAAAATACTAGTTTTTTAATAAATTCTTTCTAAAAAATTTGTTGTCTAAATAATTTCTAAATTACTCTTACACTTTATTTCCTAGTTCAATGACATATATATGTCATTGCCCTAGATATACTATAATTATATTTTCAATGTGACATAGGACATTGTCAAATCTTCAATCAATAAGCCAGAGCTAACATGTCAATCGTCCCATTTTAACATAATTCCAGTATATTCACTTGTGACCAGCATTGTCAACTATTTTTTTACTTTTCTTCTTTTAATTTCGTCGGACATACGAAAGGATATAATTTAGTCCTCGTAATTCTATTCTTTTAATGGCTAATATTATAATACACCCTGGTGAGCCTATCAAATGTTTAAGTGTAAGCTTAACATATATATTTATATACTGAATTCATAGTTTAGATACCAATTATTCTTAATAAGAGAAAACAAATGATTAATTGCCAAGAGGTGCTAACATGTGGATTCAAAATAGGTGGTGGAATCGATCAAGACCCAAATATAGCACCCTACAATTATTGTGACAAAGTTATTCAAAGAACATTGTTTAATACTTTAATTTGAAATATAATAATTATTAATATTTTGATAATTTTTTCTTTCCTTTGAATCTATGATTAACAGAAAGAGCACTGGCTGCACACCGAACTTTCCTGATTTTATAAACTGTTTAGGAGATAATTTTTTTCAAAATCACTATTATAAAAAATTAATGATGATTAAAGTAAACTTTTTTATTGTTCCCAAAGTTTTTAATTCAAGCCTGTTTGCCCCAAAATTTTATATACTTTTGGGCCTGAGACTTCCCAATTGGAATTTTTAATTTAGGCCCAAACATGTCTCAATTTTTAACACTTTTATGAATAAAATAAAAATCACTAACTCTTTTATCAATCCCATGGAAATTTCAATTATCGTTTTAACAAAAAAAGTAAAAACATTATTATTTTTATTTTTCAGGATTTTTTTTAAGCCATAACCTGGCCTAATTTTCAATATATTTTATCTTGGCCATGTTTAAATTTTTTCTGAAAATTTATACCTGAGCATGGACTAATTATTTGTTAATTTTTTCAATATGGGCCAGCCCAATGTGCATGACTCCATTATCTATGAATTTAATGATATTTTAAAAACATCAAATTTAATTTATTGTTTTTTTTATATTTTACTATTAATATTAGGGTTACATTGATCCACAATTTTTTCACTAAACTGATCCAATATTTGCCAATATTTATTTCAAACAGTATCGATACCAATATTTACATTAATTTTTTTGTCATTATTTTTAATAATATAAGATAATAGAATTAGCAAAATCTAGGCCTTTAAGCGAATATTGTTCTCAATGAAAAATTTTGAGGAGGAGGATGAGTGGAAGAGACGTGAGATTTTGGGAAGATATAAACACTTTTTTAATAAGTAAAAAAGCTGGTGCTATGGAATGTGGTTGATGAACTTTTGCATCTCAGAAAAAGTTTTATTGATAATTTTTTCGGATATATTATTATTAAGTAATGGGGAGCCCAATAGTTGGATATCTTCTTTTTCGATAATAATGTATTCTTTAAATAAATCTAAGGGGATCTCGGGGTTGAGGAAGCAAGTTTTAGTTTCATCTAATTTCAAACCTTTCGAGGTAGTTAAAGGCTTCGCTTATTTGATGTGGATTACAGCAAAGAGTGCCATCATCAAGGTACCATAGGTTTAGGTCGTGATCAAAATCAAATTTAAGATCTTTCATCATATTATGGATTGCTAAGCAGAAAAGAATAGGGCCAAGGGGTTGTCCTGTTCTACTCCCTCTTCAGATATAACGCTACCATTAAAGATGAGGGGAGTGCTATTGTTATAGCAGATGTCTATGAAGCGGGAGTATTGGGGGAAATTATCGAAAAAAGATTCGAGTGCCGAAGAACGTCAAATTGTATTGAAAGCATTCTTAAAATCGATTTTACATAAAACGGAGTTTATTGGTGGATGTTGGAGGTAGATTCGTAGGTAGTGAGAGCCTATATCTAGGCCTCCTTTTGTTCCGCAACCTAATTGGTATTTGCCAAGCAGGGAATGAGTATCGGATTTTATTTTTTTTGCTATAATTTTAGCTATCAGGTGTCTGAAAAATGAATCGATTGCGATTGGGCGGATGCCACCATTAATTTTTTCAAAAGCTATCTAGTTAGCTCCAAACATAATTTGATGAGCTAATGTGGGAATATCTTTCAGTTATATTAATAAGGAAGGTGGTAAGTGAGTTAAAAAAATTATTGGAATTATGAGATTTTAAAAATGTTTGGAAGTAAGAAGGTCTATAGCCACCCGGGCCTGTTGCTGAAAATTTATTAAATTCACTTATTGTATCGCGAATATCTTGGATGAATGGGGGGGATATTGATTAGTGGGTTTGGTAAGCCAGTATAAGAGGCACGTGGATGAAGAGATTTTAGGTTGTTAAGGGTCTCGTTGTTAGATGGGGCGAGTTTTTTTTGTGAAGAGATTAATTTTTATGCACCACATATGTCACCTTCATTTATCTTTTTGGAAATTTTGTTGCAGGTATTAATGAAAATTTCATTAGAATTATTGGGATTTTTAACATATTCTAATAGTGTTAAATTTCCCAAATTTTTGAGTCTGCCTTTTATTAGGTTAGGTAGTGAGATAGATTTGTTATCTTTTGGGATTGAGAGGCATTTAAAAGGGAATGTGAGGAGATTATTCCAATGATTTAAATTTGACAAATCTTTGTTAATATTATCAAATAATTTAGTAAGATGGTCATTGATTTGGTAATTAACACTAGATGGGATTTTTATTGTTGGTATTGTTTTAATAAAGATAAATATTTCTAGTGATTTGTTATTTACTTGTATGTGCTTTTGGGATTATACTTATTGAACCAGAAAACGAATTATACTCAAACCAAAGATAAAAATTATACTCAAACCGAAAGAAACAAAATCTTTTATTTTTCAAACACTAAAATCTAACAATGAAATAATAATAATAAAATATATCCAATACATAAAAAAAATCAATATTATTTTCTTAAAATTAATAACAATAATAATAATAATGTACATATACCTAGAACACCCCTTATATTTAAGAGGCGTTCTCAGGTTACTAAATATATATATAAAAAAATTATTACATTTCATATTATATAAAGCTCGTTTTTATTCTTAACTTCAGTTATACCCATTTCTGCAAATTCTTGTTATACTTCCTCAGCTACATTCATCTTAGTAGAAAAACTGTCGGGTCTTTTCCTTTGCAATATTGGTTTCTTCATAAGCGTCTTACGCACTCCAAAATTTTTCCGATTATTCAAAACATGTTTCAGGAATACTTGCTTAGGCTCCAGGATTACGTTAGAACGATCCAAACGATCCAGAATTGTGTTAGAATGAGCAAAATTCGAATCATTGAAAACTTTATTTTGATTATTATCATTATTGTTGATAACATAGGTATTGCTGGGACAGTTAGCTGCTTTGTGTCCTTTTGTTCCACATGCAAAACAAGTTAAACGGAATATAGGTCTGTTGAACAATTGCTGAACATTCATCCTAGATCTATGAAAGGATGGTTGCACATTTATCGTTGGTTGGTTTGGTGGCTGACCATTTCTCACAAGTTCCTCCTTCCTATTTGCCAGTTCAGTCCATGCACAGGCTAAAGCAATTGCAAAGGAAAAGACCCGACAGTTTTTCTACTAAGATGAATGTAGCTGAGGAAGTACAACAAGAATTTGCAGAAATGGGTATAACTGAAGTTAATGAATAAAAACGAGCATTGTATATTATGAAATGTAATATTTTTTTTATATATATTTAGTAACCTGAGAACGCCTCTTAAAAATAAGGGAGGTGTTCTAGGTATATGTACATTATTATTATTGTTATTAATTTTAAATAATATTGATTTTTTTATGTATTGGATATATTTTATTATTATTGATTCATTGTTAGATTTTATTTTTTTCGGTTTGAGTATAATTTTTGTCTTTGGTTTGAGTATAATTCGTTTTCTGGTTTGATAAGTATAATCCCAAAAGTGGTGCATTGATTGGGGGTTCTATTTAGTTTTATGCAAAGTGTATTAGAACCTGAGCAAGGGAGTGCTGGAGTGCCATGTTTGTATAGATGGTCATCTTTTTTTATAAAGTTTGTGACAGGTTGGGCAGATTCCTTTCATGCTAATGATGAGAAGATGGTTTAATACCTGAGAAGTTTGTTACTATGAGTCTAAGAGTGAATTCACAGTAGAGAGCGACAGCGACACGACAAAATACAAATATATGTAATTACCAATGACTATTCATAGTGAGCTTTTGCGACACGACAATCCCGCCACATTTGTCGCATTAAACTTAAAAATCAAGTTACAAATCATTTTGTTTTTTTCCATACGACATTAACTACAATATGGCCGAAATACAAAATTTGCAAGTAAATTTTTGATAAAAATATCATATATATTTTTTAGGATATAAATAAAGAAGAGTTGATCAACTCTGTTAGATTTTACCCTTGTCTTTATGACAAAAGATCAATTGGGTATAAAAATACCCAGAAAAATAATTCCATATGGAAATCCATAGCAGCAGAAAATAGTATTGAGACAGGTAATTAAAGATTATATTAATTTAAAATATTTTTCTTTTACAGTAGAGATAGCTAAATCTACATGGAAGAATCTAAGAGATTCTTTTTTGAGGGAACATAAAAAGTTGAAATGTTTAAAAAGTGGGTCAGGGGCTGATCACAGTCCCACCTGGAAATTTTATAATAATTTAACTTTTTTGATTCCCACTATAGAATCTGGGAAACAATACACCAACCTGAAAAAAATAAAACTTCTTATACCTAATATTGGTGAAGCAAAATGAGTGGAAATTTCCAATATGAAGATGGTAAATATACTAATTTTTGTTAAAATTTTTATTATTATATAGCTGTTGAAATTGAATGTGTAGAGACTAGTCAGAGTCAATCTACAGATGTTAGGAATGATGGTGATTATATTTTATATAAATAATAATATTATATAATTAGCATCACCATCAACTAGTGAATCTTATGTACCTGGCAAAAAGTTAATTAAAAAGAGAGATATTGATCAAGGTAATTTGCATTTGTAAATATATTATTATTTTAAACTAGATTTATTTGTTCAAGTTCTTGAAATTGAAAGAATAAAAGAAAGTAGAAAATCAACAAATTCTTGGACCAATGTGATGCTTGAGCAGACCCTGGCAAAAAGATCAGAAAGGGGAAAGAAGAAGCTTATTAAAATTATTTTTGATATTCTCTTCAACTTTGACACTGATGAAGAAGAATGAAAAATATTATATATTGTTATTATTTCATTGGAGGCTTTTATATTATTTTAATTATATTTATGACTTATATAATAAATAAACTTTCTTTTTATTAAATTATTACAAATCAATATAAAAAAATAGAGTAATATTTTTGAAATTTATTATATTATTAAGCTCTAATAGACTTGATAATTTTATTTCTCTAAAAATATTCAGAAAAGGCATCTCTAATATCTTTAAAAACTTTTGAGGTTTTTTATAGATTGAGGATTACATAAATAATTATTTTGTTTATGATCTTGTATATCCTTAGGGTATAGATTTATGTTTTATATTATTTTAATCATATTAAGACACATATAATAAATAAAACTTTCTTTTTATTATATCATTACAAATCAATATAAAAAAATAGAATAATATTTATAAAATATAAGCTATATTTGCCAAGGTAATTTATTTCTATAAAAATATTCTGAAAATGCATCTCTAATATCTTTAGAAACTTTTGAGGGGTTTTTTATGGATTGAGGATTCCAGAAATAATTATTTTGTTTATGATCTTGAGTATCCTTAGGGCGAAGATATATAAAGTTGTTATTGAAACCATATTTTTATAAAATTAAAAAAATGCTTGTCGCTACTACTATGAATGCTATGTCGCTTACGACAAATCAGCTGCTCTGTCGCCTAATGTCGTGTGGTGATTGTCGTGTCGCTGTCGCTCTCTACTGTGAATTCACCCTAAGGCAAAAACATTGGAGTTGAGTTATTTGCTGGCATGTTGGTATATAAGGGTTTTGATGTAGATGGAATCAGAATAATTAATTTATATAGTGCATATGAGGGTTGTATTTTTACTTCCAAGATAATATGTTCTTAGTAGTTTCAATTGAAACTTGTTATAAACTCTGAAATTATAGGGGTGCAGGTGGTATAGGAATTATTTTTCAACCTTAATATAAATATTGTCAAAATTTGTTCTGAGTTGAGTAAGTGTTTTTTGGAAATTGGTTGAACTTTTAAAAAGTTTTTAATTGATTAATATATATTTTGAGCTTAATTGCATATTAGCTTTAATACAAAAAACAGCTGACATTTTTAACCGTACTTTGAATTTAACCAATTTTTTTAAAATAAATAAATTTTTATAAATACCGAAAAATGAAATTTTATTTTTACATTAAAAATACCTTATGTCATTTTTTTCTTCAAAATTTATATTTTTATGATTTTGGACTCAGCCTTAAATAAAAATTTGTAGAAAAAACTTTTTTAAAATATCTTAAATAAAAAATTGATATATTAATTTTAAAAAAAATATAAAAAATAATAATATACGCCCAGAAAGTGGCAATAACCAAAATAAGCCAGTTCTTTAAAAATAATTAATTCCACCATTGTTTCCTTGATTACCTTCTTTTAACTAAGTGCCATTTTTTAACTTCTTCATTTGTGCCTATTTTATTTTACAGAGTTTGGTTATGACTTTACTTAATTTGCATAAATAATTAGGTCATATCTTTATAATAAATATATTTTACTATTTATAAGGGTATTTACATAACATTTATTGAGCCAGGAAGTCCTGCAGATCAATGTGGCCTGAATATACATGACAAGATTTTACAAGTTTATTAATTATAACTATATTACTATATGAATATTCAATCTACTGCTTCGAAATAATTTAAATCAGAGTGTCTAATTTTTTGATATATAGACTCGGTTAAGGTTCAGAGAAGAAAAAAACATAAATCCGTTCAGTTTAGGATTGAATTTTATAGAGGTTCAGTTAAGGCTCAAACACCTTTAACCCGGTATTGCATATCGTTCCTTGGTATATATATTTGAATCATATATTTATTTTATGACCTTTATTGCATAGTGTATTTATCAGAGACCAGCCTCGCCGTAGTAATTTTTCCAAATACCCGGGCCAAATATTTTAAATCACGATTATTATATATAAAAATTAAAATAAATAAATATAATATATTTGAAAATTGTTAATATATTACATTAATTCACTTCTCATATTTCAATTTCAAACCATTTTATCAATTGTCAGAAAATAAAGATAAAATATTTCACAAATTTTAGGTGAAATTGTAAATCTTATACCTTCACCTAGTTATTTCACTACTTTTTTTGGTATTAAAGGAAAAATAATCTTTATCTATCATTTTAAAATGAAGGAGATAGTTTTAGAAAGTTATTAAATATTAAATGATTTCATATTTGCTGAAAAACGAATTGTAAAATGCAGATGAGGTATATTTTTTTAAATCTAAGCCGAAATTTTTTGTTTTATAAAGTACGGCCCAGTAAATTAAAAATAAATAAACTATAAACTCCAGGCCAAGCTTATAATTTTTTTAAAAAAATACCCGGGCCATGTCTGAAAATATTAAGTCCAGGTCAGGCTGAAATTTTTTATGAAAAATAACCCGCGCCAGACACTGGTATATATAAAGAAAGCATAAAATATGACTAAATTTACCTACTTTTTAAAAAGATTGAAATTTCCGATTTATCAAGAAAGTTGATCATAATTTGTTTAATAACTTTTATTCTAAAAATGTTAAAATATTGCAAATACATTTATTAATTTCAATTATAAATTATTAAACAATTTTAAAAATAATTTATATCTATTTTAGTGTGCACTTAGTGACACAATATGAAACTAGGGTTAATCTAATAAATATATTTTATAATTATAAATCTAGTAATGAATACTATTCCTTAGTGAAGATTCATTAAACGAGAGTCAATAATAGGGTAATAACAATTTAATCATGATAAAAATTTAAAAATTATCAGTGAAAATTGAATTTTGAATATAAATGTCAAACTGGAACAACACAAATGCGATTCCTTCGATGAAAATACAGTGAGATTTTTCATAATGACCAAAATACAATTTGAAAAAAAAGACGATATAAGATGCTAGGATGTTTATTTTTTAACAAAAGTTAAATGCCAAAAGTGTAGCATACCTTTATTGTTTTATATATTTTCATAATTAATTAATGAATGTACATAAATAAGACTGTATATAATTCATTATATTAAATAAAATAAGTTGAAAATATTTTGACCCTTTATTATACACATTTCAGAGTATCCTTTAAAAAACGGGGGGGGGGGGAAGATTTATAAGTTTTACTAAACCATAAAGGTAAGAAAATATTTGCTTATTTAAGTTACTAAGCTATTTATATATACATTCAATACCCAATTAATCAAGGCTCAGTAATTATTTTTTTTATAAAGGTACTCATATATAGGAGAAACCTTCATGGGCCTTAATTTTTTGATCAAGCCCACAGTAAATATTATTTTTTTAAGCCAGGCCCAGCCCATATTTAATATTTAAAACAAATTTCCAAGCCCATAATTGCTTATAATTTTAATTTATTTTTTTTTAAATATAACTATATTTAAAACGATTTCAATTAAAAAATACAATACAATACAAAATGTAAATTTAAAAATATCGATGGCTCTAAAAAGAGCTTATAGTAAAAATGTACCTAAAAAACATGTATAATTATGTTTAAAAATTTCTAATTGTATTTTTTGTTTTAGGAAGATTGACTCGCGTTTTTCGTTTGTTATGTTAAAAATTTTACGTGGTAAAATTTTTAAAAAAGAATATGTTGATTGGGAGAAATTACCATTAGTTGAGATGACTATGGGTTGAAAAATAAAATTATTAAATTGATTTTTTTATTTTCGCCATTAGTAAGAGGATTTGAATTAATTGATGAGGGAAAGGAAGAGACACAGGTAGCGTCCCAAATTAGGGATTTCCCGTTGGACCATGGGATGCAGGTTAAACCGTCAGGTCTGAGACCATCTTGTAGAGAGAGGTTTGTTGGTTCTAGAATGTTAGGAATTTTAGCTTTATTGAGAGCGTTATGGATGATTTTATTTATTGCTTTATGCCGGAGGTGGCGACCTTGGCTACGATGGCAGTTTAGGCCGTGTCTTGCATTTGGTTGTACGGGTAGGTTGCAAAGGTGGCAAGTGTGTGAATGTGTTAGCGAGCATCCTAGTCTAAATCCTATGGTAACTCTCAGTTGGTCATTGGTTAAGAGATTATCAAGGGTTAGGCTTGGAAGTGCCTCGAGCCATTCATATCCGCCATAAAAAATTTTCCTATCCAGAAATTTAATTTATTATATTTAATAGACATATATATTATTATTAGAAGAAAAATATGCAATATTTTTTATTGTAGCAATTTTTTTAAATGCTAGATTTAAATTTAAAAAAATAAAAAACCCAGGCCCGTTAGGAAATATAATGGCCCATACTCGATCCGGCCCAGCCCATGAAGGTCTGATATATAGCTCGATTAATTTTAATCTTATAAATACAGGGAGAATAAGAACAAAACAGTTTAAAGTTAACCCAATATTATTTTTTTATTTGTATATAAAATTGTTATCACAACGTAAATATCAAATATTTCTCTGTCCAATTTTGCTCTATGGTGATAGAATATATTTCAATCCTGAAAATGTTCCCTCAACCGAAACCTGTTTTGTTGAGATAGACGGTTGATCGCAGACTCTCCAAGACGCCATTTAATCTTTCAATAAAATCAATAATATATTTTATTATATTAATTTGACAAATTATGATCTTTTGTTTGAAAATAAATAAAAAATTAGCTGGAAACATGCCTAGAAATTCTTTGAAAAAATTATATCTGGAAATGGCCAAAAATATTAATTTTTTCATTAAGTATATGGCTCACTGATTTTTAAAAAAATTTATTATCGAATGATATTTAAAATTATTTCTGTGTCATTTTTTATGACTAAATTTGCAAGCCCGGGCTGGGTAAAATATTTATTTGGTCTGGGCAAAAAATTAACGGACCGGACAAAGTCAGAAAAGGTTAATTTGTGGTGAGGCCGGGGAAACGGGCGGGCGTGACAAAAAATATAATCCTATTTAAATTAGGATGACAATACAATCTACATATTATTAGGGTTTTTTATCATAATCTTTTAATCTTAAAACATGGTCAAATCATCATTGACAAAAATAGGAC